ATTGGACCCAGGAAGACTGACAAAGGAGACTGGCTACACAGAGACGAGCCCTGAGTAGAAGGGTGGGGTCCTGCTGACGAATCCTTGGATGACACTGGTTTGAAGTTCACAAGTTTCCTTTAATTTTGGACTCTAATGCCGCAGAAGGGGTGGGACTTAAGTGTGTCATAGGCGGAGGTTATGGCGGCAGACCCATGAAGGGTGGCACCCAACTGACAGGGACCCGTAACTGGGTAATTTGCACTTTGAGGGGCCATAAGGGAGCGCTGCCTAGGCAACCCAGTTGCAGCTTAGTACAACGGGGCCAACCTGGTTGTGGCCCTATATTACTACCACAACATAGATACCACATTTCATTTTTTTTTACATAATTTCAATGGATAATATCAATATTATCAACGTTTAATTTTAAGCATTTTTAAAACTTATATCAATTTCAAATTTCATAGTTGCACAAAATTATGGGTTTTAAGCATTTATTTTATTTTCAGCAACTTAATTTTTCACAGTTGTCGGAGGAACAGCAAGTGGGGTCAGACAATAATTATTTAATGACAGTAGATGCTGAGATTCAAACAGTTAAAGCTTTCTAACCATTAAAGAACACATTGTCAACATCACATGTTAAAATATACAAAGTAAATATCCTTAAATCAAACTCTAAGAAGTTCTCAAGCCACATTTTCTTATTTTGTCTATCTGTAAATTTAGATTATTATTGATGGAAATATTTTTTCATTGGTTTGAGTGTTTAGGGTGAAATCGACATTTACCAATAAAAATCTAATCCTTCCAAGCCTACACATAATATGAATAAAATCTGGTTTCTTTGAGAAGCCTTATCAAGCATCTCCATAAACTCCCCAATCTCGAGCTCCGTTCCCCTTGAGGGAAATGTGTGGCAGAAACTCTTGATGAAAACTTCACACAGCCTCCTACAACATTTTCTGCCTTTACTGTTTTGTTTTGTTTTTTCCTGGAGGAGAAACATGGCTTTAAGGAAATTCAGACTAATTTGTTTTTGTGATATAAGGGAATCTAACAGTAATGATTATTTTTCCACCAAAGAGTGTTCATTACCATTACAGTATAGCTAAAATTAAAGATACATACCTCATCAAAAGTACTCCGCAACCGGGGAATCTCTATGAATAATTAATTAAGTAGTTTAATCAGCAACGATTATGACAAGTGGATTTGTACAAGTACCTTGATGCAAAGCTGCATTCTGTTTTTGTTGAATCTTCCTCAAGCTCATACCGCGCAGCTAGAGTTTTCCCAACTTGGAAACTCAGTCACTTTCAGAGTTAGAATATCAGGATGTTTTTCTTCCGAATGCTGAAAATCTGCATAATTTGGTAAGTGGCCTCATTATTTTGAAGCACTTTCTTTCATTTTATTATAGGCACCATGTAGTGGGGTGGACACCCACTCCTGCCCTGAAGGGTAAAAGCAGCCCTGGAAAGGGCTTCAACTCTAAAAGCTGGGCTGATTGGGGAAGCAGCCGCAGCTGGGCCATGCCCCAATCAGGCCTCAGCTGGCCTTATATAACAGGCTGGGAGCCAGGCTCTCAACACAGTTTCTCTCTAGCTGTAGAGAGAGATGGGCCTGGCTGCAGGGAGCTAGAGACAGAGTACCTAAGTGGAGCAGGGCTGGGGAAAGGCTGGGGCGCTCCAGCCCGGAAAGCCCTAGGCTGCGGCCTAGCGGAAGGCCAAGGGGTACTGGGGGCTGCATAGGACAGCCCAGGCGTAGGCCAAGGCAGCAGGTCCAAACCCAACCTTGCCAGTGATGAGTAGGCTGATACTGCAGTCTCCCCCGGGGTATGGGGCTATATGATGACTGGCAGTAGCCATACACTGAGGTGGGGATAGGTGGGGGGGGGGGGGGGGGAGGGGGGCTCCCTGGGGAGGGGAAGACCCAGACCTGTGGGGGTACTGCCAGGGGGCAGCACCCAGAGAAAGGGGCACTGGGGTCCTGGGAGGGACACGGGGGCCAGTGGATCACCGGCCTGCAGAGGGCGCTCTGGAGCTGGGATGAGCTAATTCCCATGGATGACCAGCAGGAGGCGCTGCAGGGGTGAATCCACTCCTTTACACACCACTTACTCTATGGTGTAATAAAATTACAAGGACTTGAAATATTATATGACCAGTACATCTGTGACCTAATTGTATTTGACTATAAAAGAGTCAATGATTGGGACGTTCATTGAGACATCTGAGTTCGGGGGGAGGGATAGCTCAGTGGTTTGAGCATTGGTCTGCTAAACCCAGGGTTCTGAGTTCAATCCTTGAGGGGGCCATTTAGGGATCTGGGGCAAAAAAATTGGTCCTGCTAGTGAAGGCAGGGGACTGGACTTGATGACCTTTCAAAGTCCCTTCCAGTTCTATGAGATGGGTATATCTCCATATATTATTAAAAATGCTGCATTGTAGTTAAATCTATCCTCAGTTTTAGAGCAAGCCTCAAGGTAATAGTTTGTACTTACACTTTCATCTGAGGAGTTCAGTGTTTTACATCTTGAAAAGATCCAGTTCTGTAGGTGAATTACAACTGGATGGAAATTTTCCACTGAAAAGTTTTTTTTAATGGAAATGCAGTTTCTGCAAAATCAAAATTTCCCATTAACAAATTATAATTTTGCTGATAATTTTTGAATTTTCTGTTGGGAAAATCAAAAGAAAATATACTTTTTTTCCCAAACCAACTTGATATCTCATTTTGGGTCCATTAGCCATTAGTTTGTGTTGGACTGAAGTGCTGCAGGACCTCATGGGAGTTGTAGTTCGAGTACCTAATACCTCCATTTACTCTATTGGCTGGGTTCCCTGGCAGGACTACTTTTCCCATGATGTACTGCAGTCTTAGCCTCTGGATGAACTGATGCATTGCCTCACGTGAGCCACATGACCATGGCACATCATGGGAGATGTATTCTGGCTCAGGAGCTTATAGATTAGAATGGGTCATGAGACATGCAAGCTACAGCTCCATGAGACACCACAGCAGCTTAGAGGAAAACAAACTGACATTGAACTAAGCCAAAATGACACATTGTAACATTCCCAAATCAAACCATTTTTGAACTTTCTGTTTTGTGAGAATTGATGATGATTTGATTGTTCATCCAGATTTGAATCAGGGAGAACTTCTGATTTTGGACTAGTTTTAATTCTAATATGGGAGAGAGGGTAGTTTTGTGGTTAAAACTCTAGACTATAAACCAGGAGGTCTAGGTTGAGATCCTGGCTCTGCCACAAACTGACAGTATGACCTTTCACACACAAGTTACTTAATCTCTCTATGCCTCATTTCTCTTTGTGTAAAATACTTCCTTTCTCTTACCCTTTGTCTGTGCTGTCTATTTCGAGTGAATGCTCTTCAAGCTGGAGCCAGTCTCTTATTATGTTTATTTATGGTGCCTATCACAATAGGCCTCGAGAATCTACCATAATACAAATGATGTTTATTTCATAGATGTGTTAGCTGAGTTGCAGAGGGCTGGAATGACTTGCCCAAAGTTGTAAAGCTAGACAGAGGCAGAGCTAGAAGAAAAACTCACGAGTCCAAATTCCTGGATCCAGCTCTAACCACTCAACGCGATATCTTTCCATTGTCACTCTTTTAGTATATTCCTGTATTATGTTGATATGCTGTAAAGTCTGCACCTGGTTAGAGCTTCTTTCCCTGAGGTGCCAACACAGATGAGTTGAGGATCAGCGGTTCCCAGCGGTAGTCTCACTTTCCTGGTCTCTAAGGGTATGTCTTCACTACTGGCCGGATTGGCGGGCAGCGATCAATCCAGCAGGGATCGATTTATCGCGTTTAGTCTAGATGTGATAAATTGATCCCTGAGCACTCTCCTGTCGACTCCTGTACTCCGGCTCAGCGAGAGGCGCTAGCAGAGTCGACGGGGGAGTGGCAGCAGTTGACTCACCATAGAGAAGACACCACGGTAAGTCGATCTAAGTACGTCAACTTCAGCTAATTATTCACATAGCTGAAGTCGCGTAACTTAGACCAATCCCCCCCAGCCAGTGTAGACCAGGCTTCACTATCTTCTTCTTATTTGTATTGTGGTGGTGCCTCGTAGTTCCAGTCATGGACCTGAATGCCATTGTGCTAGGTGCCATTCAAACAGATAACAAAGAGATGGTCCCTGCTCCAAAGCGCTTGCTATCAAAAACAAGGGGCAACAGGTGAATACAGGCAGAGAGACAAGGAAACAATGAGACAATATTGGTCGGCATGTTAGGCCTCAGTCTCAGGACAACAAATCGTTGTCAAGTTTAGCAAAGGAATGTTTTAAGGAAGGATTTGAAAGAGACAATGAGGGGTTTTGTGAATGTTTACAAGGAGCTTCTCCTGTGCGTGAGGGGCAGCATCGGAGAAAGCATGAAAGTTCTTCTATTCTGGTTTGGGTTTACGTTTCTACTTTAATAAAAAAACAAAAATGAAAAACCGCATTTTAACTTACCATGACCCCTGTGTCTTCTGTTTTACCACTTTTTCTCTAGAGATGCGCAGAAAAGGACCTTTCCTCAGAGGATTACTTGCGCCACGCACACATTATTAGCATGTTTAAAATACTGGTATGCTTCAGATTGCATTATGTACAAAGTCACTTTTTTTTGCTAATTAGTCTTTTTTAACATTCAGAATATTTTAAAGCAGGAAGACAACAAACAATTAGTTCTGAACACTTATTTTTACCTTTTAAAAACTGCCAAAAACCTCAAAGCAACTGAGCTAATTCAGTCAATTTAGCAGACTTTGAAGAGTTAGGTTAGTTCTGTGATTTATAAACATTTTGTTGTAAGCATTGTGTTCTCTCTTTAAAAGAATATTTCTTAATGGTACCTTATTAGTGTCAGTGATGTGAGCACCATTAAAATACCAAAGCATGTAACCTGATTTTTTTTATTTCCTAATATGGAAAACCTTCTTGAAATTTGAATCTATGTATTTACAGTGTGTGGGTTTCTTTTGTTTCCATTTAGGAAACTATGGTGAGAGTGGAATGGAAGCCTTCAAAGATATGTCGGCCAAGGAGGGGATCTGCATTGCCCATTCCTACAAGATCTATAGCAATGCTGGCGAACAGAGTTTTGACAAGCTGTTGAAAAAGCTAAGGAGCCACCTGCCCAAGGCAAGAGTGGTTGCCTGCTTCTGTGAGGGCATGACTGTGAGAGGGCTGCTAATGGCCATGAGGCGCTTGGGTCTGGCTGGAGAGTTTTTGCTTCTAGGCAGGTGAGTAACCCTGTATAATGATAGGCGTTCACTGATATGCATAGTACAACTGGGTCATGTGCACATGCTTGTGCGTGCATAAGCACACACACACAAGTTATGTACTGTGCGTGTGTGTTTCCTGAAGTTCAGGATATCATTTTAGCAGAATCTTTGTCATCTATGATATAGATACCAGAGAGGTTTGTCTGTATACATTACACTGTACACAGAGTCCCTGTTTGGAAGGTATTGCTGCATAATACAGTTTTTCCGAGAATGGCTGTAATATATAGATAATTATTTCTGATGTATGTTATCCTTATTCTTTGCTACATTATTTTAAAATGCATATAAATATGATCCCATTAATAACTAAAACTATGGCTGATCTGAATGTTTTAAGACACAGCTGGTCTAGTCTTTGTGTGGAAATGAAATAAAAGTCTCTTCAAAATGGAGAGATTATTTATGAATGATTATTTTCCTTTGGTGGTAGTGCTGTTCCATTAGCATTGTTCTAAAGAAAGTATTCAGCTGTTCTTTCATATGATCTGGTGGTCAGGCATCCTGGCTCAAACGCTCACTTCCATCTGCATGGAAAGGGGAGAGAGGAAAATATTAGCTGCATTAATCAAGCAGGAAATGAGACTATGGTGATTGCACAAAGAGGAAAGGTGACTGCTGTATGTGCAGTATGCCTCTGTGTATTTGCCACACATTCCACATAAACTAATGGACCTTGGGGCTGGAAGGCGGGTGTGCCAGGCTACATGAAGGGGTCTCAGAACAGTCACTTGACTATGTCATGCTTTCCCTCCAAGGAAGTGCAATTGGAAAGGCGAGCATATGCTGCCCTAAGAATGAAGGTTCTGTTGGAAGGTTCACAAGCATGCTGTACAGCTGGCAGAAAAAAGAGCAACATGGCATTGGAGCCGGCTGTACTGGAAGGGTGAACCTGTGAAGAACGTGGAAGGGAAGCACCTCGGTGCAGTTGGCTTGGAATATATGGGGCTTGGGCTCTTGTCAGCTGTAGAAACTAGGCCTCTATCCACTTCCCAGATCACGCTTCCTGCCCTTTTTACCATGCTGCCTATTCCTCTTTGGAAGGTGAACAATGGACAATAGCATGGCTACATGGGCTCCTGCCTTCTCCCATTGACCCATCACAAGAACGAAACCATCGTCACACCTTTTTGAATGATTGTAATTGCTTATTTATTTCTGCATCTTCAACCAATGTGAGTCCATTACTATGGCTATTTTTTTTCCTATTGAGGTTGCTCTGTTGTATCATCCATGTTGTCTTGCCTTATTCCATCCATTTGTGGCCTGATTTACAGAGAATCTGTTGACTTCAGTTGCACTTGTGGGTACTCATCGCCTTTTATACCTCCTTTTACACTTAACACATGGTGGTGTTTCAGGCCTCACATTTTCAAAAGGCTAAGTTTCCGGCCTCACAGGCTGAGTCTGACTTTCAAAAGTCACTTTGGTGCTTTGTTCATGTAAACCTCAAACTCCCACTGATTTTATTAGGAGTTGCTCATTTGCAAAGTAGTAGGATTTGGTGCCCAGTGGGTCCTCTGTGACTGTGAGACAGAGTAAATGTAATGGATACTTGTAGATCTTAGATAAAAGGAAAAAAAGAGGTTAAATATACGTGACCTCCTACTTTTGCTAAACGATACAGTATGTTTCCAGGTTATCAGGGCCGGCTCCAGGCACCAGCGTTGCAAGCGGGTGCTTGGTGCGGCACGTACGGCTCTTCAGCTGCAATTTGGTGGCAGGTCCCTCAGTCCTTCTCGGGAAATGCTGCCGATCATGTTCGTTTTTTTTTTTTTTTTTTTTATTTAATTTTATTTTTTGGGGGTCGCTTGGAGCGACAAAAACGGTGGAGCCGGCCCTGCAGGTTCTATTCGGGGGTTATCATGTCTAGTTGTAAGAATGTTTGAGGTGGCATATTGGGATGATGGTTTATTTTAGAAGTCTAAATAGTAAACAGCTTTGGATTAAAAAGAAGACTCTATTCTGTTGGAATGATTTATGCATTTTCTTGCACCTGATCATACTAACTTCATCTATGAATAGGCTGCATGAATTAGGGATTTTTTAGTGCATTGGCAATTTCAAAACGTCAAAAAAATTCAAGTCGAACCAACAATTTTAGAAAGGTTTGGTGAAATGAAAAGTTTAAAAAAAAACATTTTGGTTGAGTGAAAAAATTTGTTTTGACAAAATCAGAAACGTTTTATTCAATTTTTTTTTAATGTTTTTGAATTTAAAACAAATGAAATTAAAGGACATTTTTTAACACATAGTTGTTTCATGCTTAAAAATCAAACAGTTTTGTTTAGAAAATGTCAAAATCAAACATTTTGATTTTTTTTCTGAATTTTTACCCCCCACCCCTCCAGCAAACGTTTGGCAAAACGAATACGAATTTGCAAAGCATTTTGGTGTTCCTGAATCTGCATTTTTCACTGAAAAAAGTGTTGGCTTAAAAATGTCTCCCAGCTGTATTTGAGAAACTTATTTTTTCACAATTCAGAAAGAGAAATATGGGAGGAGGGGGGCGCTATCATTTGCAATAAAAAGCCCAGGGTGATGAGTAGGATATAAAATCAGTGGTGCCCTGTATCCACTAGGGACAGCTGAGCTGGGAGAAACTAATTGCAGCTACCCAACCTGGGCCTGCTTTAAACGATAGCAAGCTGGCTGGAGCCCCGAGGGGCTGTCAGCCAACTGGAGATTAATGGAGTGCCGCATGCTCTCTTTATAGCCTGCTGTCTCCAGGAAATGCTCCTAGCGTTACCTCTGATCCTGGAGGCTGCACAAAGCTCTGTGACTGTTGGAAACTCCCCCTTCACTGGAGCCATCCTCATTTTGGAAATCTGTTCAGCAGGAGCAATGTAAAGGGACTGATGCATTTCTCAGGATGAGTCTGTATACCGTAATACATTCCCATTCCTGAAGCTAGTAGAGAATCTATTTCTTTTCCAGCTTGTTATTGTCTAAAGATGACTTGTTTCAGCACAATAGCATTTGTTTGACTATAAAAGTCAATGCTTGTTTCAGCTGAGCATTTGAGTCGTATTGGTAGCATGGCATGTTTATTTGATAAGTGTTGCCGGCACATGGCCCCGAGGACAGCAACAGTGGGGTTCGGTGCCCGGAGTGCTTCACGCCAATAAACGTACCCGGGGTGGAGAAACAATCAAAGTTTATTTGAGATCTCAAAGTGGTGCAAGGAGACAGGCAAGTCTCAAATCGAGCACACCAGCAAAAACAGTTTCTCTCTTCTTTATACATTTTACAACTAAGCCCCCCTCTCTACCACCTCCCCTCTACTCCCCCTCCCCTCTCTACCGAAGGCATGTTTATACATTTAAGCAACTAAATCATTCTAGGGCTATAAATCTAGCTTGTTAGTAACTTCTCTCTAAACAGTTATTTGGTCCTGTTTACCCTTAGTTTATTACCCCTTCCCCAGCTAGAAACATGCAAACCTCATCATTATTGTTTGGTACCTGAAATGAACAAGGTCGTAATTGCTAACTAGCTATTTACACATTCCAATTCCTGTCGTTGGTTGTTAAGGTCGATCAGAGTTAAACATGGAAGGACAGAGTTTAAACATGGAAGAACTCTGGCTCAGGCAGGCATAGTAACCCCAACATAAGTGAGCAGTAAGGTTCCTGAGAGGCAGTTTAATCAATAAGCTACACCTCGATGTACATTAGTGAGCTCATGGGCAAGCCCTGGGTGTGTTGCAAAGAAGAAGGCCTAAGGCCAACCACTCTGCCACAGCGCAGTGAGCCTAGAAATACACACCATGGTGTGAGGGGTGACAAACAGGAGAGGTTTCAGAAACTGCAGAAGATTTTTTTGAAGCATTAGATAATGTCTAGTGGTGGGGCCTTTTTGTGCATTATTTCTGTGAGGGGGAAAAAATGTCTCTTTTAAGAAGCGCTTGGAAAATGGCTTCTAACCGGTTGAGGTAGGGGGCTGAATCATGAACCTGATTATGCCTCTACCCAGGGAAAGCAAGGTCCAAAGTGCCACCTCAATCCACTGCACAAGTCCAGCGTCACCAGACATGCCTGGGGAAAGAGAGAGCAGCTACTGGTGAGCTGCAACTCTTCTTCCCACACAGGTAGGTGGGCAGGGGTGGGAAGTGGCTGCAGCTTTGGATCTGTCCCCTCCCCCATATACCAGCTAGTGCAGTTTAGCCAGGGCAGACCACACCAAGTTCTAAGCTAGTCCACTAACCACGGGGATATCCTTCCATCATGGGTTTACTCCCCTTGCCCCCTCAAGTTTTTACACACAGATACCTTCCATAAATCATTAGTAAGGCTACCTTTGTCAGATGTCATGGAAGTCACGGAATCTGTGACTTCCAGAGACCTCCATGACATTCTCTGCTTCAGCCCCAGAGGCTGCAAGACTCTGGAGCTGACAGCCAGTGGGGCCCTGGTAGGGTTCCAGCAACAGGCGACAGAAGCGGGTTTCAGCAATGGGCAACAGCCTCGCACAGGGGAGGGGGATGCCTTGGGCGAGTGGCTGGGGTGTCCCATTTTCTCTTTGGGAAATATGGTCACCCTACAGCTCCCAGCCGCCATGGGCAGAGGAGGAACCCCACAGCTCTCAGCCACCACGGTGGTGGGAGAAACCATGCAGCAGCAAAAGTCAGACAGGTCACGGCCTCTGTGAATTTTTGTTTATTGCCCATGACCTGTCCATGACTTTTACTAAAAATAACCATGACAAAAGCTTAGCCTTAATCACGAGTATGATTTTTGATGCAGACAGAACTTGGGCCTGGAGTCACATGCCAACTGAACTTTGGTTTTCTCTTACATAGGTCGAACAAAGAACAGTGACCAAAAACTTTGAGAAAAAGGTAACTGTTAATGAACACTAAACTCTCAGCATTCTCAGTAGTAACTGTGATTGCATTGCCTATCTGTGGTAGTATTCTACAGAGATGAAAGATAGAAAATGTTTAAGTGACAGTA